TTCAAAGATATTTTAAGACGATTTTGTAAGGTGATATTTTTTGTTTGCTGTTTCCATAGAACCAAAATTTCGTTGCTTTCAATTTTGAAAAAAGTTAGCTAAAGTTATACTTTTTCTTCGAGAGAGAAGAAAATTGGGAATAGAAAGGGACGAAGGACGAAGAAAGTTTTAACGTTTAGACCTTAACTAAAAATACAGCTAACGTAACCTATCATACCGAAAGATATAATTATTAAAAAAAGATTTCATAAAGAAACAAAGAAACTGTAAAAATTGATTACATCATAGATTTCTAAATGCATAAGACACGTAAATATGTAAAATTTGGGATGATACTATTCGAAAAATATACATCCTTACATATCTCGCAAACTTAAAAACATTCAGATTTAGATATATTAAATCAGTTGCAAGAGAAGTTGCTTTAATTCCTGAGACTGTGTAAAGGCGTACACAAGAAGACAAGTGCATATCATGTTTCAAGTAACTCCACGACATATCGAAAACTTATCGAAATCAAGGAAGAACAGTCGCGCGAATTTTATCATTGTTTGTAAACAATTGGAGGGTATAGTGAAAATTCACATTAAAGCTTGGGCAAATTCTTGTTACGAGCGTTAGTGCCGCACGGCGGTACCAACAAAGCGAGAGACTTTACTGTTAGGCGGCCGTCGAGATGTGCACGAATAGTCGTCGTAGAGCCGGTCGCAGCAGGCAAGCGAGTCGAGCGACCGCGCCTGGCTATCCCGATCAGCCGGCGAGCCAAGTCATCCAGCTAGCTAGGTAGCTAGGCAGCGCGCTAGTCAGGCCGGAGCTGTTAGGCCAGCCTGCCGGGCTGGGTGTTGGTGAAAGGTGTGGCCGCATTAGCTACACGAGAAAAGGAGAATGCAATATTCTAGCCGTGGTGCGCGATATTCCGTGTCGACGACGTCGACAGAGAGTCGACGTAGTCGATGACGATGACGGCGACGGCGATGCGGAGCGTAATCGCTCTCATCCTGGTGTTGCTATCTCCTCTGTCGTCGTCGTCGTCATCGTCGTCGTCGTCGTTGTCCGACGCAATATCACGCAGCAGGCACGTCGAGGTGGTAGGGGGGGGGGAGAGAGAGAGAGAGAGAGAGAGAGAGAGAGACGGAGACGTGGAGAGACACCGGCTAAAAAGAACGAGCGTACAGGTGGTCGACAGCGAAACGATCGGAGAGTACCGCTTAATGGGATTCAACGACCTCCGTACGCCGGTTCAGCCGTCAGATCTAGGAGTGGTGTCGTCCTACAATATCGTTCCTTACCGATCCTGCGGACGTCGAAACGCCTAGCGTCTCGGTCTGTTTACCGCCAAATCGATTGCGTCGCCAATATTTGGATCGGGCGAACATTCGTCATGGGGACGAGAATATCCCTATTTATTGAGATGGACAAATCGACAGCGCTCGAACCGGAGCAACGAGCACGAGATTATTCGTGATTTTTTACTATCCAAACCGCCGTTAGATGGATGAACGCGCATGAGTGAGATACCTATTTTTCGTGTAATTTAAGAACTGTTAATAGAACTCCTTCACCCGAGAGTTAGTTACGGAGATCAAGTTATGAGGGACTGCGAGGAAAGACGGCATCCCGTCTGATATTTCCTTAAAGCAAAATCGTCAAGGAAAGGGGTAGAATCGTGAGGAAGTTCGCGATGTCATTCTCTCTGTAAATCTCACGCCGATAGATATCACATCCGTTCCGAGCGAATGGCTCCCCGTTATTTTCTCGCTTTTCCTAAAAACGATCCGCAAGTTTGGTCGCTAGGTGGGGCGCGAGTTGCGCGAGGAATAGACGATCAGCGGGAATTTCCGCGGAGGAAACGAGATTTTTCGCGTCATAAATTCCTGCGGGAGGAGAGCAATGGAAGATCTTTGCCCGTAGCGGTACCGTCCTTGCCCGATCGCCTCGAGCAATGCTGGCCCTGACGCGTCGGTAACTGTTCCCGTATCCTGTCCCGACTATTCCTAGCCGAGCGTCCGGCATGCCGAGCGAGCGAGCGAGCGAGCGATGCTTGAACACAGTATAAGTACGAACATGTACTGTGTAGCTCGAAATCACGCGCTCAAAATGATGCGCTTTTGCAATTATATGAGATTGCACACATGCCACGAGAGAGGGGGCTCGTGTCGCGTCTATCATGTCTTTCTTACATGGCCATTATATACAAAGTACAGTTAGATCTAAAAACGCTGAAAGAGTAGATTTCCGGCACCATTTACGTGGCGCCTGTTGCCTTTTCATTAGACTATCAAAATCGGTTTGGTACTTATCAATAAATGTGCTTATTATGCGTTTCTCTGCACTCTAATGGGGACTGCCCATGCAAGTTACATGACGCATAATAGTATGATTGCTTCGTAAGAAGGAAATGATGTACCGATCTGAGCGCGGTGCTCACAGCGCGAACACTCGTGAGCTAGTCTCGTTCGAGGCAGCCTGTTCGCCTGTGTCCGACACGTACGCGATGTTCGACACCGTCCAAGCATTATCGAAGCACCCGCGGCGGCAATCGCACGCCGCGGCTTCGGATTTACGAGTGTCAGCCGCGGCGCTAGGGCAGCAAGACATGGAGGGGGATGGTGCGGTGGCATCGGGGTCGTGCGCGGGACGCCACCGCGGTACGAAAATAAAATTCGTCTCGCCGTTGCAAGGAGAAAACCCGTTGATCGCGCGCAGCCAAGAGTTCGAGCGTCGGTGGAGTCTACGATGCTGCGAGATATGAGGATTTCGTATATTATCAGCACTCTTATTTAACACTCCGATTACCACAGACTGGCGGAAAGTCATAAATGGCCTAAATGTTATTTCACATGCATCACGGGACTTCCCGATGAGTGCGTCAACTCTTATAGCGGTTCCCCATAAGCTCTCCGATATGACACACTGCGAGCATGAGCGAGCGTGACAAAAAGATTCAGCTGGCCATGTTTGACTAGTTTGACAGCCTATGCGACAACCTCGTGCGACTTGACAGATTAAGGATTAGACAAATATGCCGATAACGACTGATAAGTTTCTGTTTCAAGAAACTTGACAAGTGATATATAACTGCGAATATGTGAATTATCAAGCTTGACACGCGTCTTTTTCACAAGTAAGATAATAATAAGCAAGTGGCTGTCATGATAGAAAAGGTAGAACAGATGTCGCCTATCGAAAAAACCTACAAACACGTCAACTCGCAGAAGTACAAGCTAAATAATCTGCGTTTCATAAAAAGGGAATGGTTCGACGCGCCGACGAATTCGTCCAGCTTTGCTAATGCGAAAGTCTCGTGAAACGGGGAGCATGACGATTCATCATCGAGATTTATACATTTGTCATGACGAGCACGCGGTTCCCGAGGGATCCGCGTGGGCAAACAGAAAATTGTCCAAAATATAATCGTAATTGCGCGCGACTGCTAAACGCATAGATGAAATTTTGATTGTTGGCTCGCAGACGCGACAGAAATATCCTGACACGCAACCGCCGGGCGAATATTAAAACTCGATTTTCATGCAAAAAATCGCGCGGCTCCGTTCCTAAGTGTTGTTCGACACGAGGCGTAGCGCGCTCAAGGCTATGTCGCAACGACGCGGTAGCGTCATCGATATCGTCGTCCAGCTTTAGCGGTTGAAGATACGAGCCAGCAGCAGCAGCAGCAGCAACAGCGGTAAACGCGACGTGGACGATGTGGACGACGACGAGAGGACCGGCTCCGCCGCTGTTACTGTTATTTTTAACCCGACGCCGACGCGCCGAGTCCGTAGTCTAAAACCGCGTCTATCATCCTCCCCGCGCCTCTCTCTGCTTCTTGTCTTCTTCCTCATCGCAGTTCTCCTTCTCCTCCTCGTTCTCTTCTTCTTCTTCTTCTTCCTCCACCTCCTCCTCCTTCTTCTTCTTCTTAGATGAAGCGACGGGAGGCATCGCCAGGCGCGCATATTTCGGAGCCTATTTTCAAAGTGACTTTCTATTTCCAAAGTCGCAGGACGCTGCCGAGCGCTCGATGCCTCGTGAAGGCGACGCGCTGAATCCCCGTTCAAGAAACGGGAGATTTGTACCACAACGACCGACTCGTATTTGAGGAGACGTGCGTTCCGTATTTGTTTTCAAAGTGTTGCGTTTCTCACGGAAATAAGATATTTCATCGCTATACAATGTAACGAGGTAATATCGCTGTTTAGAAGTGATTTCATTACAAATTTGGATATTGTAGCGAAAGAAAATTAAAATTTATCAATAAATATTATAAGTTGGTCATGTGTGTATATCGAGGTCATTGGATATACCGACATAGATTACTTTCGAGAAGAAAGTGGAATATAGAATTTATTTCGTATATCCCCCTTTCTGCTCCTGTCCGACAGTCTCGTCTCGGCCTATGATTCTCTTAATTAATCCATTGAACAATCGATGTGATCGGTCATCTTGACAATGGTGTCTATGGTCAGGGTTATCGCTCGCAATATGGAGCCAAACGGGGTCAATCGCGCGGTAGATAGAAGCTGCAAAGGACAAGTCCTTCCAAATTGCGTTTTACATTAGATACTTAAATGAGTAAAAGTAACTCACGGTAAACTTTATATATGCAGTATAAATCAATATGTCTAATGTATTTTTGTTCCCGGTTGTGAGTTTTCCAATTGTTAACATGCATAACTACCAACACACACTGGGGGTTGCACGCATGACAAAAAACAATTTGATAAATGTTTTTATACTTTTTTTTTTTTGTAGAAACTTGCTATAAAACTTGTTGTTTTGCCATTGCCGTGCGCTTTTTTTTATTTCATCCACAAAAGTGTGTTTAGAAAGGCATTATATGTAATGTGCCTCAGAATGAGACGAAACTAAGGGCAATAAATGAAGTAAATCTGCGTTTATGTAATTATTCTACAAATTCGTAAGTATTCTCTCGAAACTATTGTAATATTTTAGCTTATATATACGAAAAATAAAGTTATTATTATTATAAAATTTGCTTTTACCTTTAGGCCCAAAACATCTTCCCTTTCATGAGTTTTATGCTGAAAACAGAAATAATAAGAATCGTAAGTTCACACAATATTCCCCATATTATAATACTTAAGTTTTACTTATATATAAGTACGCATATTTATAAAAGAAATTCTTATTACATTTATTGTGGAAACACGTTGCCTGTTTCCGAGTGCTAAATAATTCGTGCTCTCTGCAAAAATATATCTTACAACAGTAACGGTCTAAGATACATAGATAACAGTTCGTAATCCCATCTCTTCAGCGCAGATAAACGTACCGTAGGTATATGCAACGGATGTGTTTGTATCGCTTTCTCCGCGAACGCGGTCATGCCGTCTCGCTATTGTTCGCGAGAACATTTTCGAAAAATTACAACGCGGGACTAAATATCCCCGTTTAAAATAGAAACGACCGAAACCCGATGTGTTGGGCGCAGAGTTAATGACAGTCGATAATGCTTGCCTGTAATACCGATAGGCAAGCCACGAGCGGACACGAATAGCAAGAAATCTCGAGCTGTACGTCCGTCGCGGGAAAATCCGTTTGAAGAGCCAGTTTTCCCGCCAGTCGAGTCAGCAACGTTGCACGGCGCGGCGGTGAGAGGAGTCGAGAGAAAGAACGAGTCGGTACTGCTAGGCGCGAGGCGTCGGGAGGTGGGAGCGGTGACGGGAACACTGAGGGAGGGAAAGGAGGGGGTGGCAAGGAGAGACAGAGAGAGAGAGAGAGACGAAGAAGAAGAAGAAAAAGAGAGAGAACGAGAGAGAGAGATATAGAATGAGCGAGAAGGAAGAGAGAGAGAGAGAGAGAGAACCTCGAAACGTGACAACGCCGCGCTAATGCGTTGTAGACTCGGTTCCGTGCTGATACCCACGCTCCGAGGCCTCGCCTCGCCTCGCCTCACCTCGCCTCAGCTCGTCTCGCCTCGCCTCGCCTCGCCTCGTCTCGGCGGGAAGTCGCTGTTGCCTCGCGTAGAACGAGATACTTCTACTGGCGGACTTTCTACTCGCAAGAACCGGGGGGGTTGCCATGCGGCCAGGTTACACGATACCAGGGTGGATTCGCGCGTTCTGACTCTTAATTCGACGACGATATCGTGGGGTGTGACGTACAACTGCGACGATATTGAGAAAATTTCAATTTTCACAGAATAGCTCGAGAATGAGGTTACCATTAACGCTGACCAGCGATAATTCTGCCAGTTAATTCATGAAGATCGCACTTATACGCGAGATAAGAGGAATTTTTTCGCTCAGTCGAAAAATATCATTCTTATGGAAAAAATATCACGGCCTACAAGTCATGCTCCAATTCCAATAACAATTGTAACGCTTTTAGACGAGGTAGGGGCAGTATAAAATATTAAAGCGTAACAAGACCGTTCGTACATTATGTACGTGGCATGTAACATGTAGCAATAGTACATTATATATACGCGATGTGGCGCATCGTTTGGCTTCCGACCAAATATACGCTCGATCGATCGCACCTACCGATCCGTGGCGAGCTCCGCCGTTCGCAAGAGCTAACGCGGACGGAACGGATACACGGGGCTTTCGAAAACGCTGCGTTCGATCGCCGCGCGTTGTGTTTTACGTGGGCTAGCAGCAGCGGCTGGCAGCGGCTGGCAGCAAGAGAGAGAATCGAGTGCGGGGCGCGCGCGCGCGCGCGCGCCGATCGAATTTTGCAGTTCGCCGGGGCGCGCATGTCCGGCGCGGCGCGGCGCAACGCGGCGAGCGGCGTCTATACGTAGAAAATATTCGCGGTTGAAATTCGAAAGGTAGCTCTAGCTCGAGCGGCGTTTCTTCGACGTCGTCGTCGGTCGGAGCAACTTTCTAGTTTAGCTGACATGCGTGCGGCGAGGAGGCGCGCGCGAACATGCGGGCATTTGTATGTGCGTGTGTGTACGGCATATACACATATAAGCATCTCTTATTCCCTTTCTTTTTCTCGTCTTCTTCCTCACTCTCTTCTCTCGCCCTCCCTCTTCTCTTTCCCTCTCCCCGTTCTTCTCTCTTTCTTTCTCTCTCTCTCACTCTTTCTCTGACACTCTCTCGTTCTTTCCGTCTGCCCTTCCCCGACAGTCATGTGGAGGAAAACTGGTTTCAAGAGAATAGAGCAACTGCGCCTTACCAGCAACAGCCACGAGGAACGAAAGCCCCAACACCCTCGCGCGCATGAGTTTAACATTGTATTTGTATATGTTACTATATATGAGCCATTTGGCGGAATAGGGATATAAATCAGTAAAAATATCATTTCGACGCGTATGATATGTTATGCGTAATTTTTTTACTTTGTGATAACATGAAGTTTTAGATTGCGCGCACGCGATGTGTACATATAATTTTAATATTATATTAATTCCTTCGTTTAAAAATTCACCTTGAATAATCTGGAATCGGTCGCTCGTTGAAGGAAGTTTTATAAAATTAATATTAATAAGAATGAAATTAAATTAAATACTCTGTCGATTAAGTATTGAAGGAAGAAGTGAAGCCTATTAAAATGTTAATTTGAAAAGTCAATTCGAGAAATTCATTGTCCGTTTGTATGATGAACTTAATTCTCCCAAACGTTTATTTTTTATCCATCGAATTATTTAATATGCTTAAAATCGAAGAAATGATAATACCTCTGAATTAAGTTCCGTCATGATCAAGATATGACTACATTTCGATTATTTCATAAATATAAATAGAAATTCTGGAAAACCTAGAAGGATCTAACGCGAAGTGACTTTCCCATAGGTAAACCAAGTTCTTGGTTTACTCGGGTGTTGCTTCAACGATACGATGCGAGGTGTCGATGATATTCACGAGCGTGCAGTGTTATGTAAAATGCTAGTTTTGTAACCTGGCAGAGCAACAAAGTTTTCACAATTGCGACACTGAAAGGGTTTAACGCGGACAGTGGGTGGACAATGACCCTGTTTCCCTACTATCCTCCATCGTCCATTGCTACGAGGAGGATAATTTGTTAGAATTATCTTCCAAAGTGAAGTACATCCACATTCGAGTACTTGCGACTCGCGAAACAGACAGTTCTCGTTCGGGGACTGTGGTGCCACTGATCAAATTAAAAAAGCACGCGTGAATGATGGTCTCGGAATCTTTAGCGCAGAGCGCTGCTTTATCGACGGAGTCTCGTTACAGGTAGCAGGCATCTAATCCCGTAATTTCGCCTGGTCTTTTTTCCACTCCAAGCGCTCGTTTCTCTTCTACTCTCTGTCTCTATCTTGTCTCTGCGTTCATTCCCTCTCTCTATGTCTCCTATTTATTTGGCGTCCCATTTATATGTACACATATATATGTATATATATATATGTGTATATATATATATATATATATATATATATATATGCTTATATATATATGCTTATATATATACTTATATATCAAAATGTATATTTGTATATATAAAAGCATATATATCTATGTATGTATATATATATATATATAAAAGCATATATATCTATGTATGTATGTATATGTATATATATATATATTTATATATATATATACATATATATACACACGTATGTATCAATATATATTACATGTATATACAACGTATGTGTACATATATGTATAAATATGTGTGTGTGTGGTGTGTGTGTGTGTATATATATATTAATATATATATATATATATATATATATTATATATATATATATTATATATATATTATATATATATAGTGACGTATATAGTGACGAGCTCCCTCCGCAATATACGTATCCTCGTCTGACTTCGGGATAGTTTTACCCTCGCGAGTGGGCAACGGGTTGATTGCACTGGCGGCTCCGCATTTGCCGGCTATCTCCCTCTAGCACTCGCTTTCTCGCTTCCCCTCCTGCTCTTGCTCGCTCCGTTCATCACCCACCCCCCTCTCGATATCGCGCTGCTGCTTCTCTTGCTCCCACTCGTTGTGAGTCGTATCGTTCCGTCTTCCTTTCGCTCTCCCCTTCACGCTCTCTCTATCTCTGTTGTTCTGTCCTTCTCCCACCGATTTGCGCGGCCAACTCGTTCCTTGTCCCTTTCTCTCTCTTTCCCCCTCTCTTTCTCACTCGCTAACTCTCTCTCTCTCTCTCTCTCTCTCTCTCTCTCTCTCTCTCTCTCTCTCTCCTTCTCTCTTTCGCACTATGTCCTTTTTCTCTGTCGGTCGTCCTTTCGGTCCCTCTATTTCTGTCACCGTCTCCCTCTCCACCCCCCGTCATTCGCTCCCTCGTTCTCTCGTGCTGCCTGACGAGCGAGCGAAGGGATGGAGAACGAATAGGGGTTTCCGTGGTAACGCCCCATGCACGAGTAATGTCTTCCCTCCTTGTTCGACTACGCTCTCGTCGTCCTTCTCTCGCCGCCGCCACTACCCGCACGCCATCCCTCGCCCTCGCTCGTTCGCCAGCAGCGAACACAGCGCGCACACCGTGATATCCCCCTTTGCCGCACTTACCCTCCCGTTCGCCCACGCTCCCCACTACGACGCGCTTCTGCGTACAGGCTGCTTCATACGCTATCGTCGAAAGCTTTTGCCGAGTCGGATGAACGGGCGAGAGAGTGGACGGAATTCTCTCTCCCCGATTCGAAATTACGCGACCGCGGCGAAAAGCGTCGGTCGGAAAACTCGTGGCTCATCCGAAGCTCGAATGTAAATCATCTGTCCGCTGTGAAAACGGTCGAATGAACCGAAGGACGGATCTACCGCTTTGCCTATGGATCAGCGTTTATGTCTGCAATTTATTACTTAATAGAAAATTGGCGATTCTTTCATATTCGAAATATACGCTGAAATTAGTCAGTTGCAAGGCAATCGTTCAATTGCTACGCGAATCGTACGAGATGTATTCGCAATTCGAAAAGAAAGCGAGGATATTTTCTGAAACAGACCGTAGACCGCTCCGCGCCCAGTTTCCGCTTAGCGTATAGATTTTCCTCGTCTTGTCGGTGCCGAGGAGTACAGTTAGGAGAAGTTTAGTCTTATGGGTTTTTGAAAAATGCACTTTTTTTGAAATTGCCGTAGCGAGGAGATAGGTCGGCGAGAGACTATACGGAGGCGTGGAGAAGTAGAAGGGGGTTGGGGGGCGGTGGGAGGTGGTGGGTTGGGTGGGAGGG